TTCGCAATCATGAATGTGGCCAGCGCTGAGGCGAGAACAACGTTCGAGATCACTGATGTGGCTAGCGCTGAGGCGAGAGTAACATTCGCAGTCGTGGATGTTGCCAGGGCTGAGGCCCAAGCAAAGGTCGCAATAGTGGATGTGGCCAACGGTCAGGCAAGAGCATCCGTCGTGATCGTTGAGGAGGTGTCCCACTGCACACGCGCACAGGCTCTAGCTATAGCGCAATCAGCAGCACCACCAAGACGAGCAGTACCAGACGCAGCAGCAGCAGCAGCGCCACCAGCAGCAGCAGTGCTAGCAGCACAGGCGACACCAGTAGTACCTCTTCGATCAACACGACAGCAAGCAGCACCAGCTCCAGCGACAACAGCGGCACCAACGCTATGAACGACTCCTCGTCCTCCTCCTCCTGCTCTTCCTCCTTCTCCGTCCTCCGCCTCCTCCTCCTCCTCCTCCTCCTCCTCCTCCTCCTCCTCCTCCTCCTCCCCCTCCTCCTCGCGCGCACCCGCACACCGTGGGACGTGTCGGAAGGGCGGGCGGGACGTTTTGCCCGAGACCCCCTCACCACGCGTGAGATCACGAAGGTTGCGAAGGCCAACAACCACAAGGATAGAGAGCGGGCAATTTTCCAAATGTGGCTCTCGCCCGCCCCAGCGCCACGCGCATGTGACCTCAACGGTAGTAATACTCCAAGTGTGGCGGCCCGTTGTCAGAGTGTGGCTCTCGTCTCAGCGCCGCGCACGTTCGTCGCCAAATCTCCCAACAGTTCTAAAAATGGAGGGCGGTTCGTCTTCAACATGGGGCTCTCGCGGGAGACCTCGTCAACATGTATGGCCATACATATGGGAGAACAAGTACTCGGATGGAGGCCGCCCCTTTTCACATTCGTCTCTCGCTTCAGATTTTGGAGTGCTTATCACCAGACTTGTAGATGTGTATAACAATTGCGCGGACGGACGGAGGGCGGTTTGTTTTTCGCTGATCGCATTCCGCGTTCAAGCTGTCTTATTTTCACGCGTTGAAGAACATATCTCCGAGAGCGGTCCTTTAAGCTCCCCTGGACGCTTCCCCAGACTCTGCCGTTTCTCGCTGAGTCGTCGAATAGATTGCTTCCTAGGCGTTCGGAGCTGGATCCGGATATATAAATCTCGAGCGGAAACACCGTCTCTGAGCGACTTGTAAGTAGTCTCGAGAGTGAGCCTTCCTCTTTCCTGAATCAATCACGACACCCTCCCAAGGCCTCAGGAACCTCTCGGGAGCCTCTCATGAGCTTCTCTGGTGCACCGACGAGGAGGAGGGGACTCTTCGAGAATCGGAAAGAATCAACCATATGCAGTTGTGAATACCGCAATTGTGAATATCATCTTCGCTCGCGCTCCCCATGTGGCCACGGCTTCCCGCCAGAGCCCGACATGCTCAGGGACGCGCTCGTGGCCGTCTTCGCGGGCGCCGACGACGACGAGGACGGCGTCCCTCTGACCAAGGAGCAAAAGCAGGAGAGGGCTCTGAGAGCCATGAGGGAGGCTGCCACTGGCGCCTTCGGTGGAGCTCCTATGGGGCCACGATCGTGAGGGGTGTGCCGAAATGGCCCGAGGCCGCCATGCGGACCTTGCCACTGGCGCCTTCGGTGGAGCTTCTATGGGGCCACGATTCTCGTGAGGGGTGCGCCGAAATGGCCCTGGGCCGCCATGCGAACCCTGCCGCTGGAGAACTCGGTAGAGTTCCCTGTGGGGCCACGATCCTCGTGAGGGGGGGGCGAAATTGCACGAGGCCGCCATGCGAACCCTGCCACTGGGGCCTTCGGTGGAGCTCCCTGTTATGGGCCCACGATCCTCGTGACAGGTGTGCCGAAATGGCCCGAGGCCGCCATGCGAACCCTGCCACTGGCGCCTTCGGTGGAGCTCCGTATGGGGCTACGATCCTTGTGAGGGGTGTGCTGAAATGGCCGGAGGCCGGCATGCGAACCTTGCTACTGGCGCCTTCGGTTGAGCTCCTTTGGTGCCACGATCCTCGTGAGGGGTGTACCGAAATGGCCCTGGGCCGCCATGCGAACCCTGCCACTGGGGCCTTGGGTGGAGCTCCCTATGGGGCCACGCTCCTTGTGAGGGGTGTGCCGAAATGGCCCGAGGCCGCCATGCGAACCCTGCCACTGGGGCATTCGGTGGAGCTCCCGATGGGGCCACGATCCTCGTGAGGGGGTTGCCGAAATGGCCCGAGGCAGCCATGCGAGCCCTGCCACTGGCGCCTTCGGTGGAACTCCTACGGGGCCACGATCCTCGTGAGGGGGTTGCCGAAATGGTTCGAGGCCGCCATGCGAACCCTTCCACTGGCGCCTTCGGTTGAGCTCCTATGGGCTCACGATCCTCGTGAGGGATGTGCCGAAATGGCCCGAGGCCGCCATGCGAACCCTGCCACGGGGGCCTTCGGTGGAGCTCCTATGGTGCCACGCTCCTCGTGAGAGATGTGCCGAGATGGCCCCAGGCCGCCATGCGAACCCTGCCACTGGGGCCCTCGGTGGAGCTCCCTATGGGGTCACAAAACGCTGTGCTGGGTGGGTGAAACGCAGGGAGGAATGAGGAGGGGGAGGAAAGAGGAGGGAGGAGGAGAACGCGGGGACCGTTTTTTCAAAACGAGGACCCAACACCACAGGATGGTTGGGGAAAAAAAAGGATCCAGGATTTGTTTTGGCTTCGGACTCCGCATGGGTTCATCAGAGGACGCCCGCAGGAAGACAGAGCGGGAGGGGACGGGACGAGGGAAGAGGATGAAGCAAACAACACTACATGGCGAAACAAGATAGAGGAACTTGAAAAGGGAGGGTGTCTTGCAGCACCGCTGCTGCACCCTGGGGTCACTCTGGTCCTCCCTCTTCTTCCTCAGGCCTCCTTTACCTCTCTTCGCGACTGCGGTGACGACCGCAAAGCTAACGAGGACGACGACGATGACGACGAAGACCAAGCGAAGCCGTTGCCCAGTGGGTGCGTGGCGTCGACGCACAGGATGTCCGCTGTCCCGCCCAAGGGCGCCAGGCGCTGAGCAAAGGCGGCGCCAGTATCGCCCTTGCCTTGCGAGGCGCCAGGCAACGAGGAGGGAGGAGGAGGAGGAGGAGGAGGAGGAGGAGGAGGAGGGAGGAAAACGAGTGTAAACCCCAGACTCATCAACGATACTGAAATCAACCCTCCATCCAGGCTCCCTCTTCATTGGCCCCTACAAAGATTAACTTTCACTGAAGGGAATGCCCCGTTGGAAAACAACCGATTGAAAATCTGAAACTCGGCCAGAACACCATTCCTGGGACATCAACGCCGCGAATCACCGTTACTGTTGCGTCTTGACGATCCTGAACCGTGCCAGAACACCATCCCTGGGGCTTCAGAACCACAAATCAACATAACTGTTGCGCCCTGACAGTCCGGCATCGTGGCAACACACAATTTCTGGGACGTTCACCATGAGAGTCCTTGTAACAGCTGTAAGTTCTTACAGCGAAAGTGCGCGGCCCTCAGGCGAGAGCCACATTTCGAAAAACCATCCTTGCAACTGCACGATCGCTGGGAGGATATAAAAGGAGATCAAAGGAGGAAGGAAAAGGAAGAGGACGACGAAGGGGAGGAGGGGAAGCAGGACAACAGGAGGAGAGGAAGCAGGCGGGGGAAAAGGGGGAGATGGTGATAGAGATCCTCCTCCTCCTCCTCCTCCTCCTCCTCCTCCTCCTCCTCCTCCTTGTCCCCCTCTCCATCCCTCAGAAGGGAAGACACGCCACCACGACGGCGACGGCGGCGACGAGGGCTGGCCGTGCAGGCACAGCAGCCGCAGCCTTGCGGGCGCCCGCGCCCGCCCGCACCCCGCCACCCCCAGCGGCAGTGCTGCGGAGGCCGCCGCCAGCGCCCACAGCGCCGCCGCCATGCCGCGGCCGCGGCGGCCGCGGCCCTGGCGCCGCCACGGCTGGCCCGGCCGGCGCCGCCGAGTAGGACGCCGGCGCGGCCGGAGGCTCGGTCCAGAACGGCCACGGAGCAGGCAGGAGGAGGAGAGAGGGCCCCGCCGCGGTCGTCGCCGTCGTCGGCGTCGTCGCTGTTTTGGTCGTTTTCGCAGGGGTGCTACCGCCGCCATGCGAAAGCCAAGGCGCGGAGTGTCCGACGCCGCGCCGCCGATGCCGCGCGCTGCCAACGCCGCGCGCAACCGAATCCGCCCCCAGCGCGAGCCCCCCCCCCCGGCCCCCCTCCCCCCGCGATCTACCCTCGCAAGGCTTGGGGGTGCGCGCAGACAGCCCCAGAAGGTAGTCCAGCCTGGCCTCAACACGTTCCTGGGGAGCCAGGGGCGGTCTCCAGAGCGTCCTGGGGGGGCGCCGCAGGGGGCGGCGCCTGGGGACCTGCTCAGGTCAACCTGGACCATCCAGGGGGCCTGCCTGCGCGCAGCCCCAGTCACCGCGCTTTGTAAAGCACGAAGCCCGCGACGTCCGCCGTGGCGCTGGCCCTCGGTGGTGCGCCGCTGAGAACCCCTAGGCAGAAATTGCGAGGCCGCCACGCCCGCGACTGCCCCGGTAGAAGGAGGGAGCTCCCACCACGACCCCATCCATTCCCGTTGCGTTGACCCCTTTCCATTCGTTGATTCGGGTGTGGAATCGGGTGGCCGCGAACGGGGAGCACCACCGCGGAGCAGGAGGCGGCAGGGCTCGATGAATGAGTGGAGCTCGCCCACTCGACTGGCCAGTTGCAATGCGGTCGCCGCTTCCTGTTTGCCTGTGTGAGCGGCAGGTCCGATGGGGGTGTACGAAGAGGGCGGATGAGGAGGCACGAGGAGGAGCTGGAGCAGAGCGGGGGCGAAGGGGAGGTGGAGGACGCAAGGAAGAACGAGGAGGACACTCGGCCACGGGAAAGGGTTCTCCTTGAAGAATGTCATGCAACAGGGCACTGCACATGGTGCAGTGCAGGCATGCTGAGCTTATGAGAAGCCTAGGCGTAGTCAGACAGAGCAGTGTACAGCCAAACGTGTAATCAGGATGGGCGATAAGGATGCAAAACCTTTGAACACCCAAATTCAGTCTGGTAAAGCAGCCCACGGCCGATAACCTAAAAATGAAAGGGCAGCCTTCCGTACATCAACAACATGTTGCATCACTTGAGACTGGTTCGCATATGCATGCTTCTATACTCCTTCCTTCCACCCCCCTCTCCCTAATAAGGAATTGGGGGCACATGGGGAGGAGCTGTCGGAACTCGAGAGGCGATCGACATACTGTTGCACCATCGAGCTGCTTCGGCGAGCCCAGACCGTAGCCTATATTAGACAGAGGGGAGGGGGCGGGGAAAAACGACGTGCAATGTCGTGGGCATCGGCTGGGCACCGGGTGGTGCATACACACCCATCCTTACCGAATGGGCGTCGGTACCAAACGCGAGGAGAACCCCCGGACGCCAGGGTGTCCTCCAAGATCGCGCATTCCTCCCCGTCCCTCCACACTACTACAAGCACAAACCCACACCACACCACACCACACTACACCACACCACACCCCACACCACACCACACCACACCACACCACCCCACCCCACACCACACCACACCACACCATACCACACCACACCACACCGCACCACACCACACCACACCACACCCCACCCCACCCCACCCCACCCCACCCCACAGCACAGCACAGCACAGCACAGCACAGCACAGCACAGCACAGCACAGCACAGCACAGCACAGCACACCACACCACACCACACACACACACACACACGCGCACATGTTAAGACAACCACACGTATTCAGAACAGTCCTTCCCCGCCGCTCCTCATTCATCATTACTTACATACGTATACAGGTGGGGTCCTCCACGCTTCGCGATGCGCAGTTACCTTCACGCTTCCCTGCCACCCCGCGACAACAACAATTCTACGGCCACGGGGGCCAAGTGCTAGATGCACACGCGGGGGGCCCGCGCATGTGGTACAACCGGCGCACCTGGAAGCCTGGCGGGGACACAAACCTGTCCCGATGTCAAGCAAGCCACGCAGAGCATGGAAGGACCGACCGAGGACACTTGCACTCCCACTCCCTACCCCTCCTCCTCCTACTCCTCCACCTCCTCCTTCTCCATTCTCCTCCTCTTCCCCATACGCGGTCAAGAATTTCAAACTGGGGCCAGTGGCTGCAGCGCTGGGGTCGAGATTGCAAAGATGTGGCCCAGGACGGGGTCGACAGCTCAAAGGAGGTAGGTGTCCCTGCAGAGTGGACATCGCTCCCGGAGATCCTGTGAGCCCGCAGGGGCCTTTGACGACGAGGGTTCCGACGATGACGGCCCCGAGGAGGACAAGGGGCATCCAGGGTACTCATTGGAAGGGAACCAGAGGAACTGGGGGCGGAAGCAGGAGTACTTGTGATGAGGAGGTCAGAGGAAGTCATTCGACCTCCGCTTAATGGCAGCCCCTTCTCTCCATCCCCCCCTCCATGTCAGAGTGAAGGGGCTGAACGGTTCTTCACTGTCCCTGGGTGCGTGGCTGAAGTGGGGTTCCGCGGTGCGGATTGCTGATGCGCTGCGTTGTTGTCGTTGTTGTTGTTGTTGCTGTTGCTGTTGTTGTTGATGATGTTGTTGTTGTTGTTGCTGTTGTTGTCGTCGTCGTCGTCGTCGTCGTCGTCGTCGTCGTCGTCGTCGTCGTAGTCGTCGTCGTCGTCGTCGTCGTCGTCGTCGTCGTCGTCGTCGTCGTCGTCGTCGTCGTCGTCGTCGTCGTCGTCGTCGTCGTCGTCGTCGTCGTCGTCGTCGTCGTCGTCGTCGTCGTCGTCGTCGTCGTCGTCGTCGTCGTCGTCGTCGTCGTCGTCGTCGTCGTCGTCGTCGTCCGTCGTCGTCGTCGTCGTCGTCGTCGTCGTCGTCGTCGTCGTCGTCGTCGTCGTCGTCGTCGTCGTCGTCGTCGTCGTCGTCGTCGTCGTCGTCGTCGTCGTCGTCGTCGTCGTCGTCCCTCTCGCGACCTTTCCCGCGACCCGGCCCGCGACCCAACCGCTACCCACCTGCGACCCACCCGCAACCCGCCCGCGACCCACCCGCGACCCACTCCCGACCCACCCGCGACCCACCCCCGACCCACCCGCGACCCACCCGTGACCCACCCCGCACCCGCCCCCTCACTCTGAAACGCGACTGTGGGGTGTTAATTATCCCTCCTCCGCCTCCTCCTCCTCCTCCGCCTCCTCCTCCTACTCCTCCTCCTCCTCCTCCTCCTCCTCCGCCTCCTCCTCCTCCTCCTCCTCCTCCTCCCCTTCATCCTCCTCCTCCTCCTCCTCCCCCTCCCCCTCCTCCTCCTCCTGTTCCTCCTCCTCCTCCTCCTCCTCCTCTCCTCCTCCGTCTTCGCCTCCTCCTCCTCCTCCTCCTCCTCCTCCTCCTCCTCATGTTCCTCCTCCCGCTCTTTTGTTATCCTCCTGCGACTACGCCGCCTCTCTTCTTCCTCGTCCTGCTCGTCCTCCTCCTTGTCCACGTCCTCGTCCTGCCCTCCTCCTCTTCCTCCTCCTGGTCCTCGCTCCTCCTCCTGCTCCTCCTCCTCCTACTCCTCCTCCTCCTCCGACCACCACCACCACCGCGACGGCATCGTAGGCGACAGCGACGACGGCGACGGGCAGCCTCGTGCTCGCCGCGGTGAACCGCCGCCTCTAGCAGAGACGTGTACGCCACGACGTCGGGGGCGAGGTCCGCCCGCGCCATGTCGGCGAGCCACTGGCGCGCCTTGCTGGGCGTCGGCGCGCCCTCGTCGCCCTCGTCGTCGCCGCGGCCGCCGTCGTCCCCGTCGCCTTCGTTGTCGCCTTCGCCTTTGTCGTCGCCTTCGCCGTCGTGGTCGTCGTCTTCGTCCTCCTCGTCGTCGTCTTCGCCGTCGTCTCGGTCGTCCTCGTCGACGTCGCCTTCGCCGTCGTCGCCAGAGCGGTGCAGAACGGAGCGGGCCACTAGGAGAAGGATATTTAGGGTGATGAGGAGCGCCCGTAACTTCCAGAATCTACGGTGCCTATCCGCACCTGCACGGCCGGCCGTAATGATTGAGCGCGTTGGTGGAATAACGTTTGAGCGTGTAGACGTCATTAAAAATCCGGGCTGTGCCAGGCAGCGCGCGACGGGCCAGCGAAAGGGGAGCGACGGAACCTGGACACGCTGGGCCGCGGCGCGGGCCAGGGCCTGGACCACCTCCGTGGTCAGCTGGTTCAGGCCAGGTCGGTGGCGAAATGGGTCGCAAATGTGGCACAGCGTGGCCAGCCGCGCCACTGTCCGGGGAGAGACGTTTTCGCGATGCGGCTCTTCCTCGTAATCCTCCGCCGTACCCACGCCGAGGCGGTGAAGTGGGCACGGGTGGGCGATGGAACGTGTTGCTACGCACACGCTCCACCAAGTCCCGCGGCAGCCAGGCAGGTAGTGGCTAATTTCGCCAGCTCGCCCCTCACACCCCCTATCTGCAAAACTATCAGCGCTGACCGACGTGCATGCGGTGTGACGTCGGCCACGCCCCCGCTGGGGTCCAGAAGCTGAGCTGGCGCTGGGAACCGCACAGCCCAAGCCCAACCATCATCGTACGCAGCGTCGCTGCAAGTCGCGCGACGGGGCCACCGTGCGAGCAGGCGGCGCTCGAGGGTTTTGTGGAAGGCCTCGGGGTGCGAGCACTGGACGGCCGAGCGCGTGGGCGCGCTGCGCGCGGGAATGCCAGCCCACCGCAGCAGCCAGGCGGATCTCCTCAATCGCTGCCATGTTGCTCGCAGCCAGGGCTTGCCGGCGTCGTCGGCGGAGCCGCGTGCTGGGCATCAGGCGGAGGAGGGGGGACGAGGAAGAGGAGGAGGAGGAGGGTGCATTCCTGCTCTAGTAACTAGGGGTGTGCGCAAGCCAATCCATCGACTGCCTGGAGACCCCTGGAGGACAACCGCATTCGAACCGTCAGATGTTAGCCAGCGTGGACCCCGAACAGTGTGCTTCTGGCAAAAGGTGTCGTGCATTCTATGTGGTGTATAGAATGTTGTACAGTCCATGTGAAGAAACTCGAGGGTTACCAGTTATTCATTCTAGAAGTAAAGCCCCCCCAAGTACAACCACTGTTTGGGAAATGAAAACCGTCCCTGGAAAAAGCGCAGGCAGGCGGGAGCGCACACATGCTTGGAACTACAACTTCCTCCTGCTCCCAAGCTTACAACCTCCTCGCGCGCGCTCTTTCTCGTGCAGCCGCCCTGCGCCCCGAGAATGGCGCGCCGCACCTCCCAGGCTCCACTCCAGCAAGGCTTGCTGTCGAGGGCGCATCTCGAGCATCTTCGCCTCGAGAGCGTCGGCAACGAGCTGCGCGACTGAACGACTGTCCTCCAGCCAGCTGAGCGCCAGTAGATCCTGCGCGAGGTCGCAATCTCGTCTTGGACCAGCTCGCGCCATTGCAGGAGCCCCTTGTCGCCAATGAAGCCCCATGCGGTGCCCGAGCCGAACGCGAGCCGCCACCGCCGAAGCGACCAGGGATATGGGCACAGCACCGATCGCCAACAACGCGTTCTGGGTGAATGACTTCGGCGGCACGCGGCGAAGAACGTGCAGGACATCCCACTCATTGTCGTTCCTTGTCGCTCACGCAGACACGCTGGGGGGGGGGGAATCATTGGGCCAAGTGCAGCAGCGTCGGCACGGCATACCCACTCCATGACTGCACTACCATCGCCGAGCCCAAGCCGCTCTGCCCGATGCCAAGCGCGCCTCGTCCACTCCGTGGCGGGAACACATGGGAGCACTCCGCTGACGCTATGGCGAAGCTCCAAGCCAATGCCAGACCCAAGTACTTAGAGAGTAGCGCGACCTTCATCTCCGACCAGCTGGGCACCGAGTGGTGCAGGAGCAGCTTTGTCTCCGCCAACCCATCGGCGCCCATCGGCGCCCAGTGGAACAATCACCCACTTGCGGACATTGAAAAATAGGCGGACCAAACGTGCCATCTGAGAGAATACGGGCTCGATCGCTTGAAGCAAAACAAACTCTCGGACCGCGAGTCCCATCTCGTCCGCGCGCGCTCGGAGGTCACCAGGGCGCAGCTGAAGAGGGAGAGGGTGCCTCTATCCTCCACAGCGCCAGGAGAAGTCCGACGAAGAAAGACAGGTGGTTCAGGAAGGGCAAGGAGATGAGGGCCCAGCTGGTGCCACTCATGGGGCAGCCTTGTCAGCGGTGACCTCAAAGGCGTAATGCATCAAGTCGCCGTCAATCTACTGCACGGCTTGGTCTGCATTAAGCGCCCGAATCGGCGTCAGCGCGAGAGGGCACAATTCGCATATTCGGAGCACCTATGCCATCCATGAGCGATATTCGCGAGGGCTGTATTGACCATAGTTCTCAGCAGCTCGCGGTCGGCATTGAACAACGTGCAAGGCCTTCGCTCGCAAGAATTTCACTGCCTTGGTTCGCCGGGGGGTGGCCCTCTCAGTCGGCTTGCGGACCAAGGTCAGCAGACATCGAATTGCCTCTGGATTTCTGATTTGTGAATCCGTATATTCGCCACCGTGTCACTGTTTCACCTGAGTTGCACGGGGGCTTCCCCATCCGAGGCCGAAACAATCACCACGCCGACTCGCTGATAGCGTACTTCCCCGAGAGACCCGCGAGTACGCCACTGCCCTGAGTCGGCTGCAGGGGCGTGCTCTTCAAGAATCTGGCCATGCTTCTTGGCGTGGAACTCGATGCGCTGTGGCTTCCTGCTCTTCTAAACGTTGACGTACATGGGTCGGCCGTCAGCCGCGAAGCGCCTCAACCCACCAGGAGTCTGAAGATGTTTGACCAGTCTCTTGGGCCGCTTGTAGACCACCACTTCTCCAGCGCACTCCAGCACAAACCTTGCCCGACGGCAACGGGTGAACCGCAGAGTGATCAGGGAGGACCGCCCCAGCGATGAGCCACTGGCTGAGACCGTGCTGCGCCTCTCCAGCCGACGTGCCAGGGGCGAAAGCCCGGGTGGATTGCCTGTAGTGGAAAGCCCGGCTGGGCGCAACCCATATGGATGCCCTGCCTATACTGGAAGGCCCCGCTCTCCATGACTCAGCCGTGGAAGCGACATGAACGACGGTCCGCGACTTCCCTTCTTTTCGGTGACGGCCCACGGGTTGAGCCGTGGGCCGTTGGCAGCATTGGGAGCGTTCGGGGCGGCGAACAATGGGGGGAGCACTATGCTCTTTTGCCCCAGTCGGTGGAAGCTAGCGCGTTTCCCAAACATGCCGACCCCAGCATCCACCCGATGAAGTGCGGGCGAGATTTTCACCAGCGCCCATGCGACGGGGGGGCGCAATAGGCCAGGAACACCTTCAAAGAACACCAATAACAGCACCTGCAAAGAACACCAGTGACAGCCTGCCCAGGCGGCAAGCATCTTCTTTGAAGCCGCCAGCCCCCATTCCAAGACCCCATTTGAGCTGTGCTGATCGTCCTGCTGCCCTTGCTTCCTTCTCCTTCTCCTGCCTCCCATCGTCTTCCTTTTCCTCCTAAGCACTCCCCTCCTACTCCCTTCCGGTTCCTCCGTCCTCCATTGGCCCCTTCTCATCCCGCTCCTTCCCATTATCCTGCTTTTCCTCCTCTCCCATTCCCACTCCCCTCTTCCTCCCCATCCTCCTCCCCCTCCATCCATTCCCCTTATAAAGATGTAGCTCCTCGCTGTCGCACCCCCAGGCGTGTCTGTAGGGCGGGCCTGGCGTTTCGTCGGAGATTTCCTGACCATGTATGATCCTGGAGGTTGGAATGGGGATGGCGGGCGGGTGGCCTTCATAATGTTACTCTCCCCATTAGCGCCTTCGCATTCGTCTTAAAAGTTTGCTGCAGTTTCAGGGGTGGAGGGCGGGTGGTTCTCAAAATAGGGCTCTCGTCTTTTCGCCGCGCACATTCGCTGCCAAAGTTAGGAAAAGTTTCAAGGATGGATGGCGTTCCCCTTCCAAAAAATGTGGCTCTCGCCTGAGCGCTGCGCACATTCATGTTGAAACTTTGCAACATCTTCAGGGATGGAGGGCGGGTGGGTTTCAACATGTCGCTCTCTCATTAGCGCCGCGCTCATTCGTCTCAACAGTTTGCAACTGTTTCAAGGATGGAGGGCGGGTGGTCCATAGCGCCGCGCGCATTCGTCTTAAAAGCTTGCGGCAGCTTCATGTGCTCGTAGGGTTGAAGTCCCAGGAATGGTGCTCTGGCACGATCTAAGATTGTCAGGACGCAGCAGTCACGTTGACTCGCGGTGTTGGAGTCCCAAGAATGGTGATGAGGCACGATTCAGGGTTGTCAGGACGCAGCAGTCACGTTGATTCGCGGCGTTGGGTCCAAGGAATGGCGTTTTGGCACGACTGGGGATTCTCGGACGTTTGTTTTTCATTTCTGCATTTTCCGCAATGAACATAGGCTCTTGTATGGACAAATGAAGAGGGAACTTCGAGAGGGAGTGGATTGCAACATCCTTGATGCGTCTTGGATTTAAACTGGTCCCTCTCTATCCTCCTCCTTCTGCAACTCCTCCTCCTCCACCTCCTCCTCTTCCTTCTGCTCATCCTCCTGATCATCATCATCCTCCTGCTCCTGATCCTCCCATTCCTCCTCCTCCTCCTCGCCCTCCTCCTCCACCTCCTCCTCCTCCTCCTCCTCCTCCTACTCCTCCCCCGACTCATCTTTCCTTCCGCCCTTCCATTCCTCCTCTTCCTCCCGTCCTCCTCCTCCTCCTCATTCCTCCTCCTCCT